CTGCATGATCCTGTCTTGGGTTTTGCAGTAGCATTACTACTCTTGTCAACTTAGAAAACCTTCCGTTTTTGGCCCTGCTGCACATTTAATCACTACTGACGTAGAAACGGCTGCAACAATTATTCTGATCCAAATTGAGATTTTGGGGCTGGTTGTTAAGGTCTATTCAGTTAAGATGTGAGCATGTTATGTGGAGAGCCTGCGAATAGATGCATTTCCTGCTTCCCTTTTTCCCTTTTACCAAATCAGATTTATAATCTGTGTACAAAATGTCCTTCTGGAACTCCTGCTGGAAATAATGGAAGCAGAGTGGTAAACAGAAAACCCACAAAATTATTTCCACAGCCAGATAGCCAAGGCTGAATAGCTTTCCTCGTGGTCCTACTTTGGCAAATCCCTTGACTGATCTGAATATTGTGTGGCAGATGATAAAAAGATATGGAATTTGTATAATGTGCATCAGTTTGGAACACTCTATGAGCAAATATAAAAGGGGGATACAAAGCTTTCAGTAAGTGATCACCAAGGACTGTTTCTCATTTCACGTTACACATGCACACAAGCACTCATGTGATTTAATTCCTTTTATAAGCATAGATGAAAATATCTCGTTGGAATGGGAAAATACGACTAGTCTTGTACATACAATCTCTGGAATTGGCTCCACAATTTCATGGGTCTGGCCCAGAGTTCTGTTCACTGATCATTTGAACAAGAACCACTGTTTACTGGGAGGGAAGTGCTTTCTTCAGAAGTGTCAGGATCAGAGGCCGATTCACCTTGCAAGGGCCTGCAGAACCAGGAGCCCCCTGCAGGGGCTTGCAGGAAGCAGCTGGTGGCAATGAAAGAGCAGTATGAAAGGCTTCACTGCACTGCTGCTCTTCGCCACAGCAACATGAGCTGTCCTGGCAGCTACCTGGTGCTCTGCCTTACAGCATCACCTCATCCTCCCACCACCAGTTTGTTCCTGCTTCTGTCCTTGTATCCCACCTGAACCTGCCTTTCTGCACCCATCCTCCCTGACCTTGCCTTGCTCTGGAAAGTGTCTGTCCTCCTGGTACCTGACCTTTGGACTGTGTGCTTGCCTACACCTTCTTGTCTTGCCGGCTCTTGACCGCAGACTGTTCAAAGATGCCCCTCTTGCCTCTGGTCCTTCAAACCAGCTGCAACCCTCCACTCTGCATCTGCATCCTGGTCCCAGCGTCTTGTCGGTAGCTGCCTACAGCCCATGTCCCAGACCTTACAAGAAGATGCGTTTGTGATTTCTTCAGAAAACTTATTTTTGCTTACCAGCAAAAGGCAGGAAGAGAGTCTCCATCACCTTCATATTATGCATTATTGTTGGCTTCACCACAAGCCTGAACCTGCACACCCTTAACAGTGCATTTGGAAAAGACCACCTGGCAGAATTTACTTACCTGCAAGGAACCAAATTGAGCCAAATAGACTATCTCATGGCTTCAAAAACCTTGATTCCTTTTTTAGTGGACATGGACGTCACCCCAAAACTTTCAGTGATCATCTTCCAGTCTCATTGAATTGGAAAGCCCCACACCCCTACCCTGGAAGTACCACTCAATACTTACCTATGATACTGTTGGAGGGGGAAGCATATTGCCATATCAAATGGACTCCAAGAATGGACATGGAATTATGGGACTTACTTGCATCAGACAGTATGCAAAACATCAGGATATCTCTAATATCCAACTCCCAAACAACCAGCCTGGTGGAATTCTATCAGGAGTTAGCCCAAGAATTGAAACATGTTCTCAATCGGAAAGCAAGGATGTCTCAGCAATAGCACCACCCAGCCTCGAAGCCCCAGTTTGATAGGAAATGTGTTCAAGCAAAGAAAGCCTTACAGAACACTTATCAAAAGTACAAAATCAGCTCTGATCTGAAGGCAGCTCAAGATCTCCTTGAACAGAAAAAATCCTACAAACAGCTGTTGATACAAAAGGAAAAAGAGGCTTGGAAGAAGAACTCTGTGAAGTTAATTCAGGCAGCCAAAGCCAAGGATTCATCCATGTTCTGGTGGCTGATAAAGATCTCACCAACTTGTGGACCAACAATGCCAGACTACTACATGCACCCAAAGGTTTGGGACATGCATTTCCATGAGCTACACAAAGATCTTGATGGTGCTTGTGTGACCTGGAATACTGTGTTTGAAGGAGTTCTGCCTTGGCCCGCGGTCCTGATTTCAGAAATTTATGAACTAGCTGCCCAGATGAAAGTGGGCAAAGCCCTGGGAGAAGACCTGATTCTTCCAGAGGTGGTCAAAAACAACTTAGAACGCTGCAGTTCTAGTGTCACTGTTCTTATATATTGACATGAGCGGGCAGATTCCAGCAGATTAGGGCTCTGCCATCATTGTCCCCATATTCAAGAAGGAAAGATAGGTGACCCCGTAAATTATAGACCTATCATTCAATTAAGCATTATCAGTAAGCTATATGCCAGGCACCTATATGTGAAACTCAAAGTTTGGCAGGAACACAACATGATATTGGCGGAGGAGCAGGGCAACTTCAGGGAGGGTCACTCTTACCATAGATCAATGCTTGATGCTACAGTACCTCATTGGGAAATACATCTCAAGCAAAGTCACCTTGCTCTACACTGCCTTTATAGACCTCAAAGCAGCTTTTGATTCCATCGAGAGGGTCAAACTATGGAAGAAATTAGAGGCCTCCAACATTGATAGGTGCCTACTCCTACTTATTCAGTCCCTATATAGAGGCACCTCCCTCAAGGTCAAATGCAGTATGCATGGTCATCCCACAATTGCGGTTTAACACAAAAAGGGGTCAAGCAAGGCTGCATTCTTGCTCCACTCTTGTTCAATTTTTATATCAACTCATTGGTCAACCAGCTAAATCACATCAATCTTCATCCTCCCAAAATTGCAGGGAGGCATATAACTATACTACTATATGCAGATGATGCAGCTATTATTTCAAGGACTCCAATTGGGCTCACAAGAGCACTGCAGAAGCTGACTGAATATTGCAAGGAAGATCTGCCAATTAATTATCAAAAAATAAAAATCATGACCTTTGCAATAAGACCAAACACTTGATCATGGAAGATAAATCAAGCAGGTTTCCCAGTTCAAATATGTAGGTGTAGTCGTACAAGCAAATGGTTCCAGGAAGGCCCATGGCAAATATGTGGCATTAAACTCCCAGAGAAGCTCATCAGCCATAACACAGTTCATGAGATCTAAAGGTGACCATTACATCTCCCTAGCCCTCCAACTATATCAAGCAAAAGTACTATCTCAACTACTATATGGATCTCAATTGAGGCTTTTCTCAAATACCCAAGTACTAAATATGGGTTTTGAACAGGCAACGAAAACCATCAAGCAGCGTATCGCAGATTTTGAAAGACAAAGCAATCTCAATCTCTTATATGACTGATATTGTGTCAAAGTATTTATTAATCCAAGTGGGGTTTTAATATAGACAATCTTTTATGTATTTTCTTCTTTTTAAACTCTATGTTTATTGAATGGAGCTGGTCTTTGACTGCAATAAAGTTTTTATCTATCTATTTATCTACTGTTGCCTTGGTTGAAACCAGCCCAGCAGCACAGACTGCTGGTGCAACATTCCATGTTCATAGGACTGACCCAGACATTAATGTAGATCCCTCCATGTCTCATTACTCAACTACCCACAGCTGAATTTGTGAAAGTAATGCCTTTTGAAGTGGTGATGGGTGGTATTAAATCTCTAGTCCTGGCATTTCATCCTGTGATGCCTCATGCACTCATACACACATCATCGCTTGAGAAACATGTACACACATGAATTCACTCTTCTGTCTCAGGCAACTGAGAATAGGTTGCAGTGTGTGCAGTGGCGGGTTTGCATCACCATTTAATGGCTTTCTTCAGTACATTATGGTCTTGTCTTGGGACTGACTCAGCAGCTACAAAGTATTCCAACTAAAAAATTTTAAAAGTCAACTTATGTTGACTTCAACATTTAAAAAGTGGATGAGGTTAATCTGAGTTGGAGTGCTGATTATATCCAGCAGCAAAAGCTGCCAACATCGACAGTACATTCTCTCACCTACAACAGTTGGGTCTACCTCCTTCATCCTCTTTGTAGTTCCAAAGTTCTGCAGTTCTGTAGATGGAATACAGAAGGATCCACTAGGAAAATAGCGTGATGGTGGTGACAATGATGAGGTACAAAAACAGCTAGTTATGCCATCTGTGCAACTTTCCAGATGTTTAGGGGCAGAGGCTCAGGAAAGAGTTTGTGCAGACTGTCTTACTGTTTAGATAGTCTCTATATCCAAAGCAATGTCAGCCTAATCTACCTCATGGGTTTATTCTGATGATCAAAAGGAATGCTTCGAGTGTATTATTCTGAGCTCTTTGGAGAAAGGACAGGATGCAAACATGATCCCTTGATATATAAAATAATAGTTTTTTATAATCATTGCAACAGAGTTTCAGATGTGTGTTCTAGCTTCCAATTATAGATTCTTCAGAAGGAAAAGCAAACTATTTATTATTGTTGTTGGATAAACACAATGGAAGTGTATAACATCTAACTCATGGGTAGGCAACCTGGTATCCTTAAGCCCCAGCCAGCATGTCCAGTGGTAAGGGCTTCTGGAGGCTGTGGTCCAAAGAATTTGGAGCACATCAAAGGATTACCTACCTCCGAATAAGAACCTTCCCCTCTCTATTGTCTAACCCTGCTCTAATTATAGTCACTCAAACTGTCCTGTTGGCAATAATAATAAGTGGACCTCCAATTCCCATCATGCTCCTCCTCCAAATGGGAACTCTCAGTTCACCAGAATACTTGAGGCAGGGTTTTTTTTCCTACATTAATACATGAAGATGACTGCTCTGTGTTATGTTTGGCCACTGTCTTCTGATCCTTTCATAACTAACATTTCTTTTATCACTATAAGAGGATATAATGTAGAAATTAACCATGACACTGACTTTTCATTTTCTGTTTTGGCAGGACCAGCTGTAAGGTACAGCCAGTTTCAAGTGTCTGAACCAAGACCACCTCCTCTTATTGGCCAGCACACAGTGGACATCCTGAAGAAGACTCTGGGTTATAAGGATGACACCATACAGGAACTTCTCAGCTCTGGAGTGATAACTCAGCATAAACTCATGTGAAAGAATTTGCTTATAGCTCTGATGTGGAAGAATCTTCCTTGAATACTGCTAGGAACTCTTTAATTCTCAGACCTAATAATGGAGATGTGATTAAATTCTTATTATTTTTGTTCAGAATCTAAAGCAGTGATGGCAAACCTTTTAGAGACCGAGTGCCCAAAGTGCAACCCAAAACCCACTTATTTATCGCAAAGTGCCAACACTGCAATAAAACTTGAATACTGAGGTTTTAGTTTAGAAAAAACAACTCACAGCCAGTTCAAGAAAATGTATATATATCCTTGGCAGCGCACTGACCGGCCATGTGAAAGCTCGGACAAGTTGCAGCTCATGACATCATCGCCTGGCGCTGCTACTCCTTTCCGAGCATGCGCATGGCCCCTATGTGCGCTGTCATCCAATGTCTGGCTGCTGGGGTGACTTGGCTCGCATGCCGACAGAGAGGGCTCTGTGTGCCCACTGTGGCATGCGTGCCATAGGTTTGCCACCACTGATCTAAAGCATTCCCAACACCAGAACATCAACCTACAGCATTTTTAAGTAATCCAGTTTTGCCACTTGAAAGTTACTACATTTTTTAAAGTTCAAATGCCAACTCCCTACATGGATAATTAGTTCCTTCCTATTTGAATTCCAGGTTTTTTTTCCTAATCACAATTGTAATAGCCCCAAATGTTAGCTTTCCATAAAGAAACATAAAAGGGACAGATCAGTATAACACTTTAATGCTACTGTCATAAAACTGCAATTAAAAAAACCTTAGTGTAAAATCAAGGTTAGGAACAAGCATGAACATTTTGCTAATTTCTTAGCTGAGATCGATAACATGGAGTAGCTATTTTAAAATAAATTTGTGTTGAGACAGAAAAAAGTTCTACAACTCATAGCATTCTGTGAAATTCTGGGTGTTGTAGGACTTCTTCTGTCTAAATGTGGATAGATTTGTATACTTAATGAAGTTTAACTTTAATTTACTAGCATTGCTTGTCAATACATTTTATTTCCATCCTATTACTCTTGGAGGCAATCCTCCATAGGTTGTTGCAATGAAGTTACTCTCTTGCATTTCTCTAGATGTGCAAAGAAATCACTGAAACCCAGTTGAATGTGTGAATGAACAATCCTGGTGATTTAGTTTAAGAAGTCCTTTCTGTTCTGCTGAGTTCTGTCTATTACATGCAAATCTTCAGTTTATGAACAGCATTAGCTCCCAGCAAGGATGGTTCTGAGTGTGAGTTAGGAGATCTGTTTTTTACTCACTTAAGAAACGTATGCAAATTAAGAGCTGACTTCTGTTACAATTTCTGAGTAAAATTCTAATTCTGTACCTATCCAGGTACAGCAGAAGAAGAAAATATTCAATGGAATAAATATGTCCATCCCTAGCTTTCCATCAATCTCAGAAAAGATTTGAAGATCAGGGAGAAGACTCCTAAGTTCTGCAAGAAGAAACCTGTTCCTATTCATTAAGACTTTTTCAGGTAGTGCTAGGTGAGCACACATATACCCCATTTCTGACTGGAAGCATCTTAAATTAATTAAGCTAATTCAGGGTGAGTTGGCTGTGATTCCAGTTCTCTCACTTAAGCTTGCTCCCCTTTACCCTCTAGTTGATGTAATCAAGATTTCAGAGGCTGAAAAGGACGTATCTCAAGCATCTCAGCACCAACAGGCAGTCCAAACAAGAAAGTCAATTACTACCAGGATTCCTGGAAAATCCAGTTTTGTCTGGTTCCCAGAGCAATAGACTAAGGGCAGAAACCTACACATGTTTAGACAAAAAAGTACTAAATTCCCATGCTGGTGTTTGTATGACTTTTGCCTGTCTAAACATTCATAGACTTGCATCCTTAAGTCATGAGGCATATGGATCTACCATGCCCAGGTTTCTCAGCAGCAGTGGAGAAATGTCCAGACTTTGGTCAGGGTATGCGCAAAGAAGCATGTTTCCTATTCTGAGTCAGGAGAAGCATATCAACCAAATGTTCCAAGCTGACAAAACTGATTTATGAATCAGCTAATTATGACCTGCAGCAGCATCAGTATGATCGACATCGGAAAATGAAATCCATCCTGAGTTTTGTTACCCCATTTTTCAATAGTGCTTTTCTCTGGAAACACATTGATGAATTTCAGGAGAACCAACTTCTATGCCAAGAGCTACTAATTGCATGAGTAAAGCTAGTAGAATCTAGGCCATAATTAACAGCACACGATACATGAAAGCAAAACCACTTTCTGTATACAAAGCAATATGGTATTTCTTCCCTCGCAGTGGGGGGAGGGCAAGCTCATTCCGTCTTGCAAGCATATAATTTAGATCAAAAGTACATCCTGAACAAGAAGATTCCAAAGTTTTTGTGTGCACTAAAGTGAAGCATTGCCCTCCTTCCCCTGAAACTAAATAAAACTAACCCAAACTGACACTCAACAAATAATGACCATATTTTACTGAAAAGATCGGAAACAGGCCTGCCATTATAAGTGGCCTGTCACTTTGTTTCCAGCTTAACAAACAACATCCTCCATGTTTGATTTGAACTTCACAACTATATAGTGCTTTCCAGGAAGGGATGCAGGGAAAAAGAAAAAGATATTACATAATTAAGTTTAAACGGGACTGCACTAGCGTTTGAAGTTCAATGGCAGGGGCTTCCTTTGCTAGCATATTTTATACGTCTTCATGGTCTCTCATTTTCAGATTTCCTACCCTACTAATCAATCTCTCTCTCTCTCTCTCTCTCTCTCTCTCTCTCTCTCTCTCTCTCT